GGGAAGGGGGAAGGGGGGGATTATGCCCACTCAATGGGCTGGCGGAAGATGGCAAGAGCCTCGGCCGGGGGGGGGGGGGCGGGGGGGGGGGGGAAGGGGGAAGGGGGGGATTATGCCCACTCAATGGGCTGGCGGAAGATGGCAAGAGCCTCGGCCTCCGGGGTGCCGGGCTCCGGCTCCGGAGGGCAGTACTCCCACCGGGCGGTCAGCGGCAGGGAAGCCAACACCGACTCAATGCGAGCGCCGGGGGTGGCGAGGCCGAACTTGGTGCCACGATCATGGACGAGGTTGAACTCGACGTAGCGCGCGCGGCGGAGCTGCTGCCAGCGCCGGTGCCGGGCCGAGGAGGCCTGCTCGCGGCGGGCGTCCACCAGCGGCAGGTACGAGGGAACAAAGGTCTGAGCCAGGGCCTGGACCATGGCGAAGGCGCCCGGCAGGTCCGGGAGCTGATCCATATCATCGAAGAAGATGCCACCGATGCCACGGCGCTCGTGCGTCACCGAGGGCCCGGTCTCGGGCATGCGGGAGTTGTGAGGCATCGGGTCGAGGGTGGCACCGCAGCGCAGGGGGGCACTGGCGGCCGCGGCCGCGGCCTCCGGGGTGCGCGTCACCCGGTGGACATTGACGAAGTAGTCATCGCAAGTGCGCTTCATGGTGGGGTAGAGGTCGGCATCGAATTGGTCCAGCACCGACTTGTAGGCCCCGTGGAAGTGCCGGCCATCCTCCGCGTACACGTAGTTCGGGGTGAGGTCGGCACCGCCACCGAACCAGGAGGCCACCGGGTTGAGACCGGCGATGCAGGTGCTGCCGGCGGTCTCGGTGTGATACACCTCGAAGAAGCGGTAGTTCAGGTGCGCCGTCGGGGCGTGGGGGTTGTGCGGGTAGATCGGAAGAGCACACGTCGGCCATCCTCCGCGTACACGTAGTTCGGGGTGAGGTCGGCACCGCCACCGAACCAGGAGGCCACCGGGTTGAGACCGGCGATGCAGGTGCTGCCGGCGGTCTCGGTGTGATACACCTCGAAGAAGCGGTAGTTCAGGTGCGCCGTCGGGGCGTGGGGGTTGTGCGGGTGAATGACCAGACTCAAGCCGGCGGCGAAGAAGAGAGCCGGCCGATCCGGGGACACGGGGCGCCCGCGAGCGCTCATCTGCTCCAGGGCCGACTTGGTGAGTTGGCCATGGACGACGCTCACCAGGACCGCGGCCTTCTCGAAAACCCGACCACGAGAGAGGACACAAGACCAACCGGCGCCGCCCTCCGGCCGGAGCCAGGTGTCCTGGAAGAAGGTGGCGGCGTCAGACCCGGCGGCCGGCATGTCGGACGTCAGCATGACCGCCGTGACGGGGTCCTCGCGGGCGAAATCCGCGCTCGGGGAAATCAGAGCGTCGAGGGGATTGGCCGGGGCGCCGTCGGTCGTGGCCTGCTGCCGGGTCTTCAGCTTGGACAGCTCCTCCATGTGGGCCTTGGCTTCGAGCTGCTCGACGGCCGCGATGATCTCGCGCTGGGTGCGCCGGACGAGGGCGGTCATGCGCACGCGCATCGGCTGTGTCACATCCTCGATGAGGGTGGTGCAGTCGGAGTCCGAGTCAAAGAGCTGCACCTGCTCTGGGCTGAAGACGGGGCTGGCAGAGGGAGCCATGGCGGTTGGGAGAGGAGGGGCGCGGGGGGGGGGGG